CCCTTGGGTTAATCCAAGATTCAGTGCATGCTAGTATGGGATGTTACTGGTGTTCCTGTGGGGCCCAGTAGAGTATGTTGTCCGACGTACTGATTGGAGCTAGGTATCCTGAATCGCTGAAAAACACAGATTCAGGATGACTGAAACAAATTACAAGTTCTTGCTAAATTAATTTGGGCTGAAAAAGACAATTGAAACAAATGTTTGGAGGATGGTGTAAATGTTCTCAAGACAAAACACATCAACGTTGGGAATAAAAATTATTTCAACACTAAATTTCCCTTACTTTTGACTTACAAAGTCCTTCCCCAACCTGAAAAGCTTCATTTTGTTCAATCCAACATCAGCCTTGTTTGGCCCAGTCAGCATATCAGTTATTTGGACAACTCCAGCCCTGACCCAGTAAGTCAATGGGGATTGATTGATTCAGTGGGCTTTGGCTCAGGTTCTATGTCTATTACTAGTCTCCTCCAGAATGGAGTCATGACATGGCATATATCAGATACAGATTTAGTGGTACAGTTTTACACGTGCTTTACTTGTGCATGTTAAATATCCACTGTACAGGTAGTCCTTGAACTTACGACACAATTGGTTCCTGAAAACAGCATCTTAAGTCAAATCGTTGTAACTCGGAACCAATTTTCCCATAGGAAACAATGTTATAAATGGGGGATTGGTTCCTGAACCAAGGCCTGATACACTATTTTCACCAAAAATACCCCAGAATTTTGTACTCAATCAATTATAGATGAGTAATATAGCTACATTAATGTATTTATACTGTAAATAGCAATCATATTGATTTGGAAGGACTTCTTTGAGGTGACTTTGCCGGACTTTCTGAAGGGCTCCTGGTTGGACTTTTTGAAGGGCTCTTGGCTGGAGTCTTCTCAGGAGTCCTGGCTGCAGGTTTTTCTGGAGTCTTGTCTGCTTTCTTAACGAAAGTGTCCAAGGAAGTTTGGACAGATGTCTTCCGAGGAGATGGGTGACACAGTGAACTTGTTCACTGTCATGGTGTCACATCAGATCAAGCGCTGTAAAGTCAAAACTAAAATCAGAAAGTTGAAACAGGGTGTCAATGTAGAAATGCTGTAACTCAAAACTTTGTAAGTTGAGGACTGCCTGTACATACAACCCCCTAATACTCATCTCTTGCTTTTGCACATGAAATGAGCTGTTTTTGAGTACCTCCTATTAACTCATGTTTTCAGTAATTTCACCCTCCTAAGTGCGCTGGTCAAGAAGACCCAGTTAATTATAGCTATCAAACAGAAATCATTAGAACCCAGCTGTGGAGGACTGTGCATACTATGTCATCTGAGCAGTTTGATTAGCAAATGAGTTTTGCTTCATCTTGCTCAGTGCATTTCTAGAAGTAAGCATTAAAACATGTACAATTTAGAACTTTAAATAGTTGAATTGTGTTGCTACTTGGTCTTCACAGCCCAATGTATTAATCAGTATTAAAGACTTTATAATCAGTTTCTAAAGGCTCTGGCATTTTTTTAAGGATATTTGTGGGCTTGGTTGCTTTTTAACCATTTCCAGTATTTCAGCTTATGATTGTGCAGTGAAGATGTGGGATCCTCTCATTGCTCAAGGATATGGAAGTGCAGATGGCATAAACATTTGGGTGGCATTTTCAAAACTCTTTATGACAGCGGTTCCCAAACTTTTTGGATTTTTGCTTTGCCATAGTCACTCTTGCAGTTCCTAGTGCTCATTGCAGCCAGTTTTTTGCCTTCAGCATCAGCTGCTTCTGCTGTCATCCTAGTTTCATGCCCCAGTAGGAACTTTGGCTGCCTCTCCCTTTGGAAGGGGACAAGCAGAGCACCTTAAAGTTTGGAAAACAATGCCTTGAGGAATGTTATACACAGAGGGCACATCTACACTCATGCATTAATATGCAGTAGCCTATTTTACTGCACATTAAAGTGTCACATCAAAAACCGTGCTAACATGCTAATGTGCAGTAAAAATAGGCTACTATACATTAAGTGACACTAAAAAAGCATTTGCTTTTGCTACTGCACAGTAAGGCAGCCTAATGCGCATTTATTAAGTACCTCACATTAGAAGTACTAAACTTGAATGTGCATTAGGCAAAGTGCATTAATGAATGTGTAGACATGCCCACTGTCTGTTGAAAGCCAGCAGAAGTTGCAGGCTAATTCATATATGCAGTTTTGAAGCTTTTTATCTCTAGATGAGTACAGTATGAACAGCTCTTAGCAGAGGCCTGGCCTGAACGACTGTTCAGGTTTTCACATTATTATTTGTATGGATGTCCTCGGATATTTATATCCAACTCAGGGTCCCTTTAACTGCATTTTGGCATCTGTGTTTCCTGAAGGCAGCAAAAAAACCTTTTTCTTTAAACAGAAACTTCGGAAATACAAAGTCACTCTCACACTTCAGTTAATAGAGACTCTGCACAATGAATGCACGGAAGCGGCAGAAGTCTGAGCAACTACACTGTTTGTGAGTATATTATGAGATGAGAAAAGAAACTATTGATTGAAAGACAGATGAGAACGTGTTTTTAAGGTCTGACCTTTCCTTTTGTTAAGAATATATAATTATTTTAATGTATGCACCTGCTTTTTATGCTGTCATTATCTTTTTAAAAAATTCCGCATGTGCATGATTTAATTTTAACGGATTTCAAAACTAATTACTACCTGGCTGAAGAAATTCCAGCAGTCTGGCTCCTTTCTGTAGCAAGTCATTCTGATGATGATATGTGAAAGAACATTTTGTTTCCAATGTTATTTCCATCTCTCCTAGCACTTGACTTGCATTTCTGTTTTTCACAGAGTTATGAACTTTTTGCAAATATTATAATCTAACTATTTCTTGTCTTTTGTATTCTTTTCACTTTAAGATGTATTGAACAACAGAAGGATATGTGTACTTTGGTAGTAATAATAAGGTAGCTTTTCTTATGGAATGTTATTCATAATGAAACTGAATTACAAAGATTGTTTGCATTGTTGTTATACCCACAGGTTTATCATCTGCACAATCTTTTCCTTATGCTGTGGACCTTCTGAAACAGTGCACAACATAGAGCACAGATATTCCATCAACCAAAGAGATCAATTCCTCCATAAACACTTTAACAATTGAAATGTAAATGGACTGCTATCACACACATCTGCCCTAAATGATGCCCTGAAGTATTAAAATAAGGACAATCGCTACTTAGTACTTGAAATATCTTGTTTTCTTTTTCTGGATCCACGTCGTCAGGAGCAATTCATTGAATTGAGGATGATCTCTACTATGGCTCATTGATGGGTCTTGAGGTGACTTAAGAGTCTAATCTTTGAACCATGGACCTGTTTGCAAAAGTTCTGCCACGGAGAGTAGGCTGTAGGTTGGAATTTGTCTTCCTTCCTTCCTCTGTCCTCTCTTTTCTGCTTCAAGGGCACAACACTTTACCCCGATGCAGGCTGCTGCTTGGTTGAGGTTGTAGCACCATTGGAGTTCATTATCAGCCAGCTCCTCCCAGCTTTTGAGAGATGCCTTCACTGTGTCCTTTTAGTGTTTCCTCTGGCCACTGTGAGGTCTCAGGCTGCAACTAAGGTGGGAGTTGAGCACTTGTTTTGGGAGTTGAGAGTTGGGCATCTACACAAGGTGTCCAGTCCAGTGAAGATGGGCACAAACCTAGATCCAAGTGTAGGATTGTTGAAGTGCTTCCCAAGCTGTTTCATTGCAAAACAAATCCAGGAGATACTTGGACCTTGAAAAGAAGATAAGATGATTGTGCCTCTGTGGAAGTGTATGCCTTTTGTCACGTGGCGAGAGGTAAGTGTGAATTCCTGAGTACAGCAAAACAATTCCCATTACCTCGTATCAGAAGAAATGGAGGGTGATAGGTGTCTTTTCTTCTGACTATGCCACTGATCTTTTCATGGTGCAAATACATATGATTTTTTGAATCTATCATTCTCATGTTCTCATAACTTGTGCACACTTGTATCTCTCAGGCAGCACGGTTTCATCATGCATGCTACATGGTTTTGGCAACTGGAGCTAACGTAGCTTATTTCATGTGGCCCTCTGAAGAACTAGCAGTTTTTGGTCATTACCAACCAAACTGGCAACTTAGAGGTGAAAAGTTTGCTCTCCTATTCTGCCCCCTGAACAAATAATCTCTTCTCTCTAAAAAAAAAAACAACCCCCCCCAAAGAAACCCCCCTAACCCCCCCTTTAAACAGTTTTTCCTTCCCTCAGCATAACAGATACAATTTTTAGTGATAGATTTTACGTCATTCACATTATTCTCCAATTGTCAAGAATTCCCTCTTTTGCTTGAGTATTTTTAGACACGTTTTCCTTTTTCGCACTTTTTAAGGGCTAATCACCATAAAATGAACCTTAGTACTGTACCCCAATTCAGTTTCTTTACGAGTCCTCTACCAAGGCTTAGAGATGAAACTAACTGACAAAAGCAAAGAGCAGGATGTCTGAAGACCAGCTTCTTGTAACGGCATTTGACCTTTTTGTGCAGTCTGTTGCCACCGTTGTCTCCTGTCAAATGACCCATTCATGCCAGCTAATTTGGACATGGGATTGCCAGGAGAGTATAGGTAATCCCAGTTGTGCAGTCACAAGTAAGAAAAGCCAAACCTTTGGAATTTTGTGACATCTGACCAACAACTTGAAAATATGAGAGAATAGGAATTGAAATGTAAAAATCCAGTGCTTAACTTAAGATCATAGTTTGCATCCTTCTTATGTTGAATAATAAGAATGTCTCTACATAGCTGTCTGTATCACACTGTAAAATGAATTGCTTGAATGGTCTAATACAGTGTAGTTTCAACTATGACAAAAGCCTGGCTTCACTGATTATAGTGTAACACGTATCACTAAAATATATATAATTACTAAGCTTGCAAAAGTTGAGCTGCAAAAGTATGGAAGGGCTTCTGTATGCCCAGACTTCATTGCCTGCGTGGAAGCCTGGATTTGTTCATGCATGGAGGTAGATCTGCCACAAGGCAATGTCTCTCCTACTTGTTTTTGCTTCCTAGCATGAGCTTCTCATGCGGGCTTTTGAAGCATACAAGTTGTAGAAAGAGTGCTCAAAATTTCTTTGGTGCCCCCATGAATCCTAATAGCTTTATATTATAAGCCCTTGTTGCGAAGTGCATTCCCAGGTATATGCTGCACAACATGAACTGTTACAAAAACCAAGGCCTTTAGCAAGTGACTATGATAATACACAGCCAGTGATAGTAGAGGCAGTAAATAAGCTGTAAAGATTGTTTGGCCTTTTGCCAACACTATAACTTTCAGTCTCTATTCAGAAGAAGAGCTGTTTGTGTCACGGTGTTCTGTTCTCAGAAATGCCGTAGTCATTACAATGGTTGTTCACAGGAACTGTAGAAAAAAAAAATCCATTTCTTTTAATAGTGACTCGTATACTTTGTATCAGGCTGATTTCCTGTTTTCTGGTTTCATGCTTTCCACTTGCTTTGGCTGTGTACTAGGGCTGTGCAAAACGGCACCGCTCCATTTCGACTTGAGTTTTGAGGTTTTGATGGAACAGTGTTTTATTTCGAATTTCATTTCGAGTCGAAACAGCTGTTCTGTTTTGCTTCATTGACACAGTGAGGCTGTTTTGAGGCTGTTTTGACCTTTCACCCATTAGCTATAATGGGGAAGCTTGAAACAGCCTATCTCATCTGGCAGGCAGATTGGGGCTTGGGATGGGAACTGAGCCTGGGCCCCTACACTGCAATCGGCTTCCCGCAGCCCGGCGGCAGGAGATGAGGAGAACCAGGGCTGCGCTCCCAGCAACAGCCGGCTGTTGCTGGGAGCGCAGCCCTGGTTCTCTCCTGTCTCCCACCACTTGGCTGCTTTGAAACTCAAAACATTTTGACTAGCCTCATCTTGTTTCGAGGCTGTTTTGAAGCCTTTCATTTTGATAAAATTTTGCTGTTTCAAGCTCAAAGTGAATCAAAACAGTGTTGAATCAAAACAGCTGGTGAAATTTCGCACAGCTCTACTGTGTCCCATAAACCATTTTTCTATAGCGCGTCTTTCACTGACTATCCCAACTGATGAAATGCTCCTAAAAGCTTTAATGAAAAGTTGTTTTTTTTCTCTTTCCATTCTTGTGTCTACATGTCTTTCAGTATGTCTATCCTCCCTATTCCTCTCACAATCCTTTTCATGTTCAGTGATTCTGATTAACTGGGAATTAATCTATTCAGTGTAGAACAGGGCTCCTGTTTGCTTGTGATGCTATTGTTGTGATGCCCCATGTCTGGATAGTTCCAGAGACCAGCAGTGACTCCATACTTAACCTTGTCTAACCTTATATAAGTGTGTCTTGCTTGTAAATCCTTCAACATTTTGGTTCAGATTTCACACAGTTAGTCTGTATCGGGTTGAAAGGGTTTTTGGTCAATTTGGGCTATCAGGTTTTGAGAAATAGTTGTTTCCTGTATTCTGTGACTCTCTTTGGGAATCTATAGTGCACAGACATAAAGATTATGGTGCAATCTGGCAGACAGACAGTGGGTAAGGAAAATGCCTTCAGACATTTTAGAAAGCTTCAAGTGTTTAATGAACAGGTAAGATGAATTTAAAAAATGGGGAGCTGAGGCACAGTGGGTGTGTCTACAAGTGCATTAGATCTGGGAACAGTTTACTTGTGAGTAAGCTACTTGCAAGTAAACGCTTCCGGGCAGGCATGCAGGGAAGTGGGACCAGATTTGCTGCTAATGGCAGCAAACTGCTCTCGCTTCCTGGGGCCCTGCACTGGGCCTTTGCCACCACCACCAGGGGGAGGTCTAGGCTACCCCTGGGTGCTAGCCCAGAGGTCATGGGGAGCATCAGGCCAGGAGACAGCTGTCTCCTGCCTGGGGCAGGGACAATGTCCCCTTGGCCTGGCAGCTGGGCGCTCCTGGCCCCAGCTCCCCGATTGGGGCAGGGGACTAGGAAAGAGTTGCAGGGGAGGGGCAGGTCCCAGCTACCTGCTCCCATCTTCTGGTGGGTTGCTACTAGCTGCTCCACTGGCAGATCAGGACAGGGGGATGAGACCTGCTCTACCCGTGCAGCTGTTTCCAAGCCCCCTGCTTCAGTCGCCTGATCAGGCCATGGGGCTGGGACAGTTCCCAGCCCCTGCTCTGCAATTATAGGGCAGGGGCTAGGGAGCCTGTTCCTTGCCCAGCTCCCTGATTGTGGAACTGGGTGGGGAACGTGCTCCCCAGCCCCTGCCAGCAGGGAGATCCCAGTGCTGGCTCTGTGACTGCCCCTCCCCTCCAGCTCCTTTTTAAGTCCCCTGCCCCAACTGGGGAGCCGGGACCAGGAGCTCCCCACTGCCAGGGCAGGGGGACATTGTCCCCACCCCAGCAGTAGGCAGCTCCCCAGGGACAGGGAGCAAAGTCACAGCCCCGGCCAGGAGACAGCTGTCTCCTGGCCCAGTGCTCCCTGCCAGCCCCTGGGTTAGCACCCAGGGGGAGCGTAGAACAGGGCCATTGCAGGGCCCCAAGTAGCAGGAGTAGTTTTCTGCTGCTAGCTGCAAATCTGTTCCTGCTTCCCTGCACGTGTAGGCGCCTGCCCAGATAAGGATCTCCCAGCTCTGGCCCCACAACCCTGGAACTGGCACTGGGAGATAAATATCCCTGCTCTCCAATTGCAATGGTGAAGCAAGGGCAGGGAGATAAGGATCTCCCAGCCCCCCACCCCCTGATTTGTGATGGTGAAGCAGGGGCTGGAAGATAATGATTTCCTAGCCCCCCTGCTTCCTGATCGTGATCTTGGAGCAGGGGAACGTAGTCCCCAGCTGGGCTGTGGTGGCCGGACAGGTAGCAGGTAGCTCGCCAGGGCAGGGACAGTCTTCCTCCCCCTGCTGGCCAGGTGACTGGGAGCAGATTTGTACCTGGCCAAGGGTCTACATGAGTGCTACTGCACAGTAACTGATTGCAAGTAAATGAGCAACGTTCATTGTGCAGTAAGTGTGTACACATGTAGACGCACATGCTTACTGCACATTACATTACACTGCTGCGCAGTAAAGTGTCTTATGTCGATGCACCCAGGGAAGTTACAGTTCATTTAAAATACTTTTTACTCTAAGTGCCCAAGTGGACATGCCTGATGTTTTCAGAATTCTGAGTCTAATATGAAGTGTTCAGA